AAAGCAGTGAAGACGGATCTCTTCCGGCAGGCCTTCCCAGAATAATTTCCCGGCTTGAGGGGACAACTCCATTGCTCTTTCCCTTGCCGCTAATTATTGTGTTACTGTTTTAATTTGTTTTTATCACGGAGCACGTTGTTTTAATTTATAAGTGGTTTAATGCTGTTTCAAGGGGTGGGAGGGTTGGATGAGGAATGAAACGTTTTAACTTGTGTATTTTAAATGTTGTAACCCACCTCGATTGCTCCGCAGAGGGGCGGGCTATAAATAACATTTATTATTTATTATTATTATTAATTACTCAAATGAGAAATTGAAGACTTTGTCTTTTCTATTCTGTTTCTGTAGAAAGAGAAGTTTGAAGCAAAGAAGATGAATCTGGTGAAGAAAACTACCTTATAATGGTAAGTGCCTTTATATTCCTTCTTGTCTTTTGTTTTACTTACAAAAGAATGTAATTACCTCAAATGTTATACAGTGGTGCTGTCACATTCGCTGCGGTTAGGGGTACAGGATCCCCATGAAAGTGGGAAAATCGCAAATAAAACCTCCCCACTATTTTTTTAACTTGAGAGAACACCTCTCTAGGAGTCTCTCATGGACAAATCAGACTGCCCCGAAAGTCTGGCTCTGTGCTGCCCCTTTGAGCATTGGATCGAGGCCATGGAAACTGCATGCTACTGTCCCAATCAAGTGTTTTTGTGACCCCAAAAGAAGTGGCACAATGCCACTTCTTTTTGGGTTGGAAAAAAGCCAACTTTGCCATGGTGGTGGTGGTGGCTTTTCAGCATTTTTCCTGCACACCGCTTGTAAACGCTGCACCACAGAAATGCCATGATGCAGCACGCTATGCAGTTGGAGGGGCAGCATGATGCTGGCTTGGGAGCAGTGTTGGGGTGTGCGCCATGCATACACCATGCCCCCATGCTACCCCGAAGCCGGCATTTCTTGCTGGTCTGTTTTGGCCCTCAGTCCTCCAGCACAACTCTGTGGTCAACATCTTCCAGATATTGACTATAGAATTGTGCTGGAGGACCTACAAATGCCTAGAGCAGTGTTCTCTTTATGAATCTCTTAAGTCCTCCAGTGCGACTTTTGGTGCAAGTTGACCATAGAGTTGCGGTGGAGGACCTAGAGATTCCTAGATAGAGCATATTAATCAAATCCATGAAGAATCAAATCCAACAAAGTCAGATCTGCAAATGTGAACAACTGACTGTATTTATGGGAACAACTTTCTTATACCAACATCCTAAACTATTGTTGTTTTGTATGCTTTCAAATCATTTTCAATTCATGGCAATCCTAAGGCGACTCTATCACAGGGTTTTCTTGACAAAATTTGTTCAGAGGAAATTTGCCTTTGCTTTCCTCTGAGGCTGAGAGAGTGTGACTTGCCCAAGGTGTTATGAACACACTCAGTGTGTTTTTATAGCCAAGTGGGATTTGAAACCCAGTCTCCAGAGTTATAGTCCAGTGCTCAAACCACTACACCACACTGTCTTTCCTAAACTATAATAGTAAAAGAGAATGTTTGCATGTCTGTGGCAGTCATAACTTGCCAGGACATCATGTTTAAATGCCTCAGAATCTGAGTGTTTTTCCTTATTGTTTAAATTGTGCAGAGATTTAATTCAAAATTCCAAACAGGAGTTTAGAATTGAAAGGAAGGCAGCAATAACTAATAAAGAAACCATGATAGATGACTCAAAATTTGACGGTATTTTTGGCTGGCTGCCAAGGTGCAGTAACCAATTTCAAGTTGAAATTCAAAGCCTAGAAGCAAAATAAAGGGGCCTGCCATAATCTACTGGGAAGTGTCAATTTAAGGGTTAGAAAGCAGGAGAGGACTTAGACACTGCGGTTAAGATTACTGAGGTTGAAAAAGAATGAGGCAACAGCCCTATGGGGTGGGTATTAGTTATACACCTGGACAGATTTGGGTATCTTTCAGCTAGTTAGTAGTAGGAGAAAAGTTGCTCTGTAGTCACATGGTTTCAGATTTTCTCTGTGCAGTTGAGAAGAAGTTTT